GCAACGGTCCAAGTATGCAGTCGGAGTGGGCAGCCAGCTTTAAGGTTTTCCCCTTCTCCAGCCTGTATTCCGCTTGTTTGTTTATGTTATGGCAATATGTTGTGCCAGTGTATAAGTTCATTTCTTCTCGCTTACTGAATAAAATTGGGGGATGTAAACTGTTCCTGGAGAAGTCAACTTCTTTTTGCGGAACATACCCTCTTACCTATTTTTGTGCAAATAAAACAGGGGGTTTATGGATACTAGAAATCTTTATTCTTTTTTATATGATCAGTTTTTCAGTTTTTCTATATGTTTAACCTTCCATCCTTTACATCCTCAACCTTACTTTGTTTTTTCATGGTCTGGCAGTTTGTGGTGCGATCTTAAGTTAGAAGTTATGACCTATCTAATGCTTTGAAACCTACAGTCTTCAGCTCCCAATTATGAATTAGGATATCATCTAGCTTATAGTATCCCCAGAGTTGACTTTCGCCTGTTAAGCTATGGTTTATTCAGAATTTCGTGGAATTGAATTTTGTGATTCAACCCTCTCTCTCCTTTTTTTTTCTTTTTTTTTTCTCTATGCAAATTTTAACGCTATTTTTGGTGGGGGTTTAATTGTTGAACTGAATCCTAAACCTACCAGTTATGAGATTCGATGTTGCCGTACCAATTTAGGATTGAATTCACGATCTTAAAGTTCGAATGAACAGTTCAGAAACAGTCAAAATGCCTTGTAATGGTATATTGTACAAGTTGCAGCAAGTTATATTCTGTTTCAAACCTCTCAAGACCAGAGAAGTTTCTTCAAGAGTTACAGTGGCCAGTTTCGTTCTTGGTTAATTCTATTATCGGATTACCAAACGGGGGAAAAAAGAAAAAAAACTATTGATAGTACGCTGCTTTAGACCGTCCAATTTGCATCCAGTTCTGTTAAATTTGTATATTTTTTCCATTATTGATCCGTTTCAGATAAAAATTGACGTCGAGAACTGCGCGACACTGATAGAATATTCTCATTCTTCTTGCTGCTGCATCTAACGTCTGAATCTTTTGTTTCTTCCCAACTCAACGCTTCTTCACCTTCCTCTAGTCTCTACTAATATTACAAAATCAAGCTCTGCTCTAAAACGATCTACACAGTTTTCTCTACTAATATTACATACTACTAATATTACAAACTCATACGCTACTTTTAACCTTCTGTGAAGCATTCAAGGGGTATCACACATTGCTTGCAAAAATGCCGTCATCATCTTCCAAACTCCTTTCACGCTTTGAGTTCTTGAGTAGTGGAGTGGCATCATATTCGGTCCCAACAAACTTTTCGCCATTAGCCATCTGCCGACTATGCCGGAGCAGGAGTTGTAGAACATCTTTCATGGAAGGCCTTGTGGAAGGCAGAGTAGTCGTACAATAGATCCCCAGCTTGAAAACGCAGCTCATTTCTTCCACATAAATCGGGTCCTTTATCTCCTCGTCCAAGGCATCTTCTATGGGCTTATCATCTTGAACGTGACGCCACGCCCATTCGGCTAGGGAAGTGTGTTCGTCACCGCTGTTTGCTTCTCTGCCTGTTGCTAGCTCTAGGAGGACAACCCCGAAACTGTAAACGTCAATCTTCTCATTCACTCTTGTCGAATGAGCATACTCTGCAAATTCAAAGCATAAAATGTCAAGATTAATGCATAAAATTAACTCATTACTAACTCCATGTAAAACTGTGAGTTTTAGCATAATAATTTGAAGGTCTCATAGCGTGTGAATCTGTCACATGATTGGTGATTATGCAAAAGTACATGCGTGTGAGGTTACCTGGAGCCATGTAGCCAAAAGACCCAGCCACGGTTGACATTGTGGCAAGTTCTCCTTGCTTGACCAACAACCTGGCCAGTCCAAAATCAGCGATTTTCGCATTGAAATCCGAGTCTAGCAATATGTTACTTGCTTTAATGTCTCTGTGAATAACTGGTGGGACACAATCATGGTGCATATAGCAGAGACCCTGTGCAGCCCCCACCGCGATTTGCAACCTCTTGGGCCAGTCAAGAATGCCGGGATGGACAGAACGAGCAGCTGAGATCATATTTTGCCTGTTTTTGTTGTGCAGCCATCTGTCTAGGCTTCGGTTTTCTAGGTACTCGTAGACAAGGAGTTTCGAACTCTCGCTGGATATGCAACATAGGAGTTTCACTATGTTGGTGTGTAGGATTGAGCTCAGTATCTTGACTTCCGAAAGGAATTCTTGCTCGAGTTTGTGTTCTACCTTTTTGTTGTTCCATATTCTCTTTACAGCAACAACATTGCCTAGACGGTTCACGGGAACACGGTAAACTTTTCCAGAGCCGCCGCTCCCAATCAGGTTGTGATCACTTAGACCGGACACAATGTTTGATTCTGTGAAATTCAGCCTCTGGAATGAGGTGAGCTTCCATTTCGGATCGAGTCCGTGTTTGCTCCTGTAGCATCTGATTATGATGAATGTGAAGGACACGGCCAACAAAAATGCTGCAACACTTAGTGCTATGATCAAAACAAGATAGGGTGTTGACATATTGTCATTTTGAGATTTTGGATTGCAGGACTTGAGTTGTAAGACATTATTACTAGAACAAAGACCAGGATTGTTCAAGAAACTGTTGGCATATACAGCGATCTCCAATGCACTCGGGATTGTTCCGGAGAGGTCATTGGAAGAGAGATTGAGAAAAATTAGCCTTAGAAGACCAAGTTGGGGTGGAATTTGGCCCGAAAATTCGTTCTCTGAGAGGTCTAAGTCTGTAAGAGTAGGCAAGAAACCGAGCTTCTCAGGAATTTGTCCAGAGAGTTGATTTCCACTCAGGTTAAGAGTATTTAGGGAATCCCATGATTCTATATCAGATGGAAGATCCCCTGTGAGCTGGTTTTGATCAAGGAAAAGATTTGTCAAATGATGAAAAGTGGTTAGTTCTTGAGGAATGGCACCTGTCAAGAGGTTATTGCTGGCCTTAAACACCACCAAGTTCCTCAATGAAGCCAAACCAATTGGAATGTTACCTGAAAATCTGTTGTTACTGATTTCCAATCTTGTAAGATTTGTGGACCACTTCTCAGGAAGCGTACCGTTGAATAAGTTGTTGCTCATCGTCACATAACTCAAATTCAAGGCTGTCCACAGGCCACTAGGAACTTTCCCAGAAAGCCTGTTATCTGAAACCTTGACCATTTCCAATGAGTTGCAATTTCCCAGTGATTCAGGAAGCTCCCCAGTGAAGTTGTTCTCATGAGCCACCACCCCAACCAGTTGACCATTGGAACACAAATGTTGTGGCAACTCCCCTGAGAGCCTATTGGAGCTTACTTGGAACTCTCTGAGATTTGAGTACTTGCCCAAATCCGGAGGCAACACGCCCGTGAGATTGTTGTCCCACAATTTGAAATCTACCAAGACTGGTAATCTGCCTATGCCCTCCGGTATACTGCCTGATAATTGATTGGAAAACAAGGCCAAGCCTGTCAACTTAGTTAGCTTCCCAAAATCTTCCGGTATTTTTCCAGCCAAATTGTTCTCCGAAAGATCGATTATCTTCAAGTTCAGAGCTTCAACCACTTGAGGAACATCACCAGACAGTTTGTTCTTGAAAAGGAATACTATGCTCAAATTCTTCAACATGAACAACCCGTCGGGGATCTTTCCATGCAAGTCACTCCGGGATAAATCCAGCCATTCCAATGCTTCCATGTCTCCAATACTTTCCGGTATCTCCCCAATCAAGTTTGAGCTGGAAACCCATAGATTTTTCAACTTCCTCAACTGGGTGTAATTGGAAGGCAGCCTTGAAGGGACAAGCTGATTATTATTGGCCAACCACAAATCTTCAAGATTTGACAAGTCACCAATTTCTGGTGGTAACGAGCCATTAAACAGATTGCCTCCTAAGGCCAGGACCTTAAGCTCTTGCAGCTTCCCAATAGCAGGTGGGATATCACCAGTGAAGTTATTACCTCCGAGGACTAGACTTTGGAGCTTAGCCAGTTTGTCAATGTCATCGGGAAGCGTTCCAACAAAGTAGTTTTCAGAGAGGTCCAAAGCTTCGAGCTTTGAACAGTTGAAAACAGCTCTTGGAAACTCTCCTGGGATATAGTTATCCCCAAGATCAATGGTTGTGAGATTCTTCAAGTCACAAATGAAGGATGGAACGGGTCCAGTGATATTCACATTGTAGAGTGACAGCCCTTTGACGGAATTGGACGTGCAGGTGATTCCAGGCCAAGAACAATGAGAATTGTCTGATGGGGTCCACTCATCCATGAAGGAAATGTTTCCCCAGTGCTGCTTTAGCTTCAAAAGGACTGATTGTTCTTGTTCCTGGAGTGTTTGGGAGAGCACTCCATGGCTGAGAAAGATGAGGAAGATAAAGATGTGAAATGGGATTGTGAGATATTTCTGGTTTGTTTTAGTCATTTTGAAGAGATTGGGAGGTTTCTGGTTTTTTTGGGTTTTGGCCTTTTGGTTTTTTGGTTTTTCAGTTCTGTTTCAGCTGAC